TTCTCATCTTTATTCATATGCGTAACTACCAATCGGGATGTTGTGGCTAGGACTCGACCAGACACTACCAACCCGCAGGAAAAATAACAAAAGACCATCGGTGGCGGAGGTGCAGGACGTGACACCCCATTGGATATCAGTTGCTGCCGCGCGTGAGATCCCACGGGAGGGAAGTCTAATGCGATCTGGGCGTTGCTTGCAAAGGGGGGTATTAGTGACAAGTGCATTGCAACAGGAGGAAAATAACATTTGGAGTAACGACCGTTTCGGGGCAGTGGCGGTCACTTGAGTGTAGAGATCGTGTTTGATTTTTTTTCTTTTAATAATGGACTAATGATTATTTCTGTTTCTGTTTGATTATACTTTGATGGAAATTGGTGGTGGTGAATGTGATGATAACTGTACTCATCGTCAGCATCCTCATCCTCACCATCAATATAACAATAGAGATAGTAGTGGTGATAATGATATTATCCCTCATGTAACAACAATAATGCTAATTAGATAAGTAAATAAATACTACAAAAATACATGAATAAGTATTATATGAAAAATAATGACAAACAAATAAAAAGAATAACAAACAAATAAAGAAATATAATATCAACATCAATAATAGCAACAACAACACCACAGAGCCCAAGTCCAGCCGCACTGCACGCCAGCGACGCCGCGACGGCCCACTCACCCAGCTGACAGTCGTCCATGGACCGATCCGAGACCGACCGGACCAAGAAGGCGATTTGGTCCTCCGAATAGGCCAGGCCGTCGCGCTTCATGGCCAGGAGGTCCGGAATCCTCCAGTTGCTCTGAGAGGTCTGTGCAGCGCTCATGGCGGCCGTGGTTCCTTCCTGGCGGGGTTGTGCGGGCGAATCGGGCTCGGGCTGGTGAGCGCCTGAGGAGAGGAATGATGAAATTAAGAGTTTTTCAGCTTAAATATATACATATAGATGCGGACACATGTTAGGTCTGGTTTGGTATTTACATACATATATACACATGGTAAGACACCCCAACAATGCACAAACTAGATTCATTAAATACGAGACAACAGTTTCGAAATCCTCCTGGATTCAATCTTCAGCTCTGAATAATGACTTCTCCTACGACACCTGTCGTTTTCTCGCCGTGAGATCGGCCTCGAGCCAGCAATCAGAGCGCAAGCATTTTTACGACTGCCGCGGCGATAATTGGCCACGAGGGTCGGAGTCCAGTGGCCACTGGCCCATTGCGGCAGTCATATATATATATATATATATATATATATATATATATATATATATATATATATATATATATATATATATATATATATATTTGCATATATATATATACATATATATATATATATACATATGTATATATATATATATTTGTGTGTGTATATACATATATATATATATATATATATATATATATATATATATATATATATGCATATGCATATACATATATATATATATATATATATATATATATATATATATATATATATATATATATATATATATATTTGCATATATATATATATATATATATATATATATATATATATATATATATACATACATATATATATATATATTTGCATATATATATATTTGCATATATATATATATATATATATATATATATATATATATATATATATATATATATATATATACATATATATATATATATATATATATATATATATATATATATATATATATATATATATATATATATATATATATATATATATATATATACATATGTATGTATGTATATCTATTAGCACGCGCTCTCATATGCCAGAAATTGCCCCAGAATGGAGACAAGTTCGACGCGCCAGACATGTCGCACAAACCTGTTTCTGTTTCCAAGAAAAAAATCAACGCTAAGCCGCTGCCGTTGCAAAGAAGCCAAAAACATGAGCGAATCGAGAGCCTAATCCCGCGCCGCGTCTGTCCTGTTATTTCAGCATTGTGTCTCGGCGACAACTTCTTCTCCAGAGCGAGGTCATGAATATTCTCGTCTGTGAGGCAACTGCCCGCCTGTGTTGTGGTCGTGATAATAATAGTAAGTTTGATAATAATAGTAATAATCTCAACAACAACTACATTAATGATACTGATGCTCATCATTATTATTTTCCTTGATAATTTTCTTCTACCTTTACGAATGTCTTATGAAGAATAATCATGAATTTCTTCATATAATTAAAGTACAAGTACTACATATAACAATGATAATAATAATAAGTAATATGAACAATAATCAGCATCAACAGCAACAAGAACATAATAATAATAATAATAAGAAGAAGAAGAAGAAGAAGAAGGAGAAGAAAAGAAGAAGGAAAGGAAGAAAATAATAAGAAAGGGAAGAACAAGAATAAGAAGAAAATACCATCCTCTACTAAGATCGCCGATTTCCAATAATATTATACCTTAACTTTCAAACTATCTTTTATTTCAGAGTTTTGAAAATACTCCTTCATTTATTCCAACAGCCTCTAGCTTAGTCCACATGTTAGTAATATAGAACCAGAAGCAACACACTCATCTCTATCACATACTGACTTGACTGACTAACATTAACTTATCAAATTCTGTAAGTCAGGTAGAGGCAATCTTAACATATCTATCGAAATATCTTCAAACTTCAAACTTCAAGCTTATTTTCATTACTTGTGACAAAATACAAACAATCTGACATATGCAATGGAAATCTGGTAAAATTGCTGTTATCCACACATATATACAGTCACAGGGTACACACGTCAGTAACTCGTGATGTCGTCGTAAATTTCACTTGAGATGAATTTTATCAGATATTATGTAATTGACTTTTATATCTGAAGCAAAGCGGTCTATATTCTCGTACGGTTTAATGACGTCAGCAAGTTAACAATGGCAAAACATGTATTATAATAAAAATAATGAATTTTGCTGTTATCATTATTCTGTTACCATTGTAGTTATTATTATTATTATTATTATCATCATCATTATTATTACAATTATTTTTTTCATCATTATCATTACTACCATTATTATTATTATTATTATTAGTATTAGTATTAGTAGTAGTAGTAGTAGTAGTAGTAGTAGTAGTAGTAGTATCATCACTATTATTATTATTATCACTATCATCATCATTATTATTATCGTTATCTTTATTATCACCATTACTATTACGGTCATTTCCATTACTACTTATATCATCTTCATTAGTATTATTATCCCTATCACCATAATTATCATTATCATTGTTATCATAACTATTATTAATATTATACTTATTATTATTATAATAGTAATAATAATAATAATAATAATAATAATAATAATAATAATAATAATCATAATAATAATCATCATAGCAACAACAACAACAATAAAAAAAATAAAATAATAACAATAATAACGATAACACTATCAACACTATCAACAACATTAATAATAATGCAGATTAAAAGTAAGCGGATAGAAGTTTCTTCATCAGTGGCATGACTTGTACATCCCCAGTACGCACTCGGAATGATAAGTGGCTGCCATCATCATCACTACTCTGAAAACGTTACGTATATTGCTAAGCAATATGTTCTCATTTACATTAGCTGTATATATTTCTTTTTTACCTACAAGTATGAAAATCATATCAGTTATTATCTATTATCTCTCTCTCTCTCTCTCTCTCTCTCTCTCTCTCTCTCTCTCTCTCTCTCTCTCTCTCTCTCTCTCTCTCTCTCTCTCTCTCTCTCTCTCTCTCTGTAGCCGCTGTTATCAACATCGGCATGGCATACCCGCTGGCATCAGCATCACGTGTATAACATCTGTAGCCAATGCCATCAGCATCGGCATGGCGTAGCTGCTGGCTTCAGCATCACGCGTATATCATCCCCTCTAGGACTTGGTTGACGGTTTCCTCATGGGTTGCGATAAGGATAATGCCATGGCCGTGTTCCTCCATGTGTTTGTATGTGCTGAATTAGGCCTTGTCCCTAGTGTTGACGTATAAATGAAGGAAGGGCGTCTCACGAAAGGGGGGCCATCACAGATTATAGAACAGTTTGAGAGTGAATACTGGCTCGACAACACGTACATAAGGACCGATCTGTGGACTTCTGTTAAAGGCCTTGACTGTTCCCGCTATGCGTATGTATCATACACATTCATGTATAGATATACATTAGTGTCAGTGTATGTTGTTGCTTACCTAAAGCAGTAGGGTATAATGACATTCTCAGCAAACAGTAAAATGTATGTATGTATTATAACTACTGATATGATCTTGTTAGTGAATCTAAGTCGAATTGTAACAGCAATTATGATTATTATTGCATGATTGATACTGTATTGATTATGTATTGATTACAGGTTTGACCGCATTCAAATAAATTGAGAAGCGAGTACGACGCAGTGGTATCAGTCACCTCGAGTTAACGCAAATAATCTAAGCGCGTGAAATGGCGCTTACACACTCTCTCTCTGTGTGTGTGTGTGTGTGTGTGTATGTGTGCGTGTGTGTGTGTGTGTGTGTGTGTGTGTGTGTGTGTGTGTGTGTGTGTGTGTGTGTGTGTGTGTGTGTGTGTGTGTGTGTGTGTGTGTGTGTGTGTGTGTGTGTTAACTGATATATCTCTCGGTTACTATTATAATTTTACATAGAAATAAACCCTTTACTTTTCAAAAAATAAATACATAAGGAATACACGAGACGAACAGACAATTCATCACACGAACATAGCTTTGAATTTTGGCGCTGTGTGAGCCGTCTCCCACGTGACAGCGCTGTTGCAAGCGTTATATTTTGTATTATCATTATTGACAAATGACCCTGAAAGAAAAGCCGGTGATATGCTAACAACACACTGCATCTAGAAATGAGATTGCTTGTTATTGCACAGGTATTGTTCCTCTTTGTGTTAAGGGGGTATGTACGCATCGCACATACATGTACGTAAGTGTGATTGTGCGTCGTAGCTACACGAAAGGTTTAGCGGGAATTATGAATATGGTTTTGGTATTGCGTCTCGTGAGGGTATTGGGTCCGTCGAAATAAAAATGAACTCCCCAAGCATACTTTACCCACCAACTAAATGTTCCGCAGACAGACGCACAGAGAGTGATCCAAACTATGCCAAGCCAGCGCGTCAACTGGCCGATGTTGCCAAATGCATTATCGTTTTCGTTGCTATCAGTAAAAAAAAGACAACAGACTAACGAACGCGTCCACACACATGATATAACTTCCTTTGGGTAATGTTATCTCGTGCCCCCCCCCCCCCCCTATAAGTAGGGGCAATATTATGACACGTTTTGTACGTATGAAAAGCGACCTTAAGAAGCACGTAGCGGGGATGTGTCATGAAGCGCTGCTGCATCCTCTCGCTCTCTTTTTCTTTTTTCTTTTTTTTTACAACTTCCGGTCGCTTTTCGAAAACACGTTTCTAACTTAACAAAGTCGGATATCAAACGTGTAAACATATTCATCTGTTGTGTAATTTCTGATAGGATGCATGACAAAGAGAGGTTCACACACATCATATTAGGTGCCTCAAAGTCAAAATTCACAATGCGATATTTGCTAATGTAACAAGAGGAACCCTTCTCGGGACCAGCAAGACGCCACAGAATGCATTTACATTATGGCATTTATACATTCCCTTTATGCTACAGGCAGGCGTCTGTGCTGTTACCGTGGAGTATACTATGACCTTGAGAAACACGCCTCTTAGCAATGCAAGTTAATCATTTTCATTCTAATTTTTGAAACTACATAAATAAATAAAATAATAAGCAGGAACAGAGACAGAGAGGGTAAAAGAGAGCGAGAGAGAGAAGGGGAGCGTCGGGGATGTTAGTGGTTAATAAAAAAAAACAGTAATCAACGCCTCCTGCAGCAAAACGTTCTGACTCGCAGCTCGACGTCCAAACAGAGAGGTTCGGTAACGGGAGTTTTCATGCCTTCCTTTCTTTCTTTCTCGCCTTTCTTTCTTTCTTTCTTTCTTTCTTTCTTTCTGTCTGTCTGTCTTTCTTTCTGTCTGTCTGTCTGTCTGTCTCCTTGTCTGTCTCTCTGCCATACATTCTTACTCTTACTCTCTTACTCTCCCTTATTCTTACTGTCTTTTACTCACACTCTCATTTACTCCCTCACTCTCTCTTCTACTTTTATCTTTTACTCTCTCTCTCTCTCTTTCTCTCTCTTTCTTCCCTCTCTCTCTCTCTCTCTCTCTCTCTCTCTCTCTCTCTCTCTCTCTCTCTCTCTCTCTCTCTCTCTCTCTCTCTCTCTCGCTCTCTCTGTTTTACTCTTACTCTTTTACTTTTCTTCCCTTTACTCTTACTCTTTAACTCTTACTTGCTTTTACTTTTACTCTGACTTACTCGTATTCTTACTCTCACTTATACTCTAACTCTCACTCTCGCGTTTACTTTTACAATTAGACACACACACACACACACACGTGTGTGTGTGTGTGTGTGTGTGTGTGTGTGTGTGTGTGTGTGTGTGTGTGTGTGTGTGTGTGTGTGTGTGTGTGTGTGTGTGTGTGTGTGTGTGTTGAGTGTTTCCAAATATTGCATTGTCTTGTCAGCTTTTGCCCGCTGACAGGTCCATCACACGTGATGAAAAATACACAACGAGTAATAACCTCAGTAAACTATCAGTGATTGTTTTTTTCGTTGCAAATGCCTGGAAATCTGAGTCCTTGCAAACACACACACACACACACACACACACACACACACACACACACACACACACACACACACACACACACACACACACACACACACACACACACACACACACAAAATACAAACTTACACAAACAAACACATATTTGTGTGTGAGGAATACATAATTAGATCTTATAAATGCCCTGTCACATTCGCGTCGTGATAGGCTAGCAAAGCAACAAAATCAAAATCTCAGTAAACCACATCATCTGCGCTACAGAGATACGCGTCCACGACCACAGGCAAGAAGAGGCCGAGGAGGCAAGCGCATTAACAGGCCTTGTCAGCGCCGTCTTGGCCTGGGTGTCGCTATAACAGGAGCGTCAGTCTCTCGGCCACAATGCACTGTTTGCAGGTTCCTTGCTAACGCCGAGTCATTCTGCTGATATCATGTGATGTGGAGGTTATGGAGGTTTTACAGGAGTGTCCTTTATATTAATTCGGCTTGGTGATTACGTTAAACGCTCTTTATTTCTGATGGCCGCTTTGCCCTGTCACGGCCTGATGCGATACTTCGGTGCAGTGCATGGTTACTTTAGCATTCTCCCTTTTTGTTATTTTTACTCCTGTTTTATTATAAGGCAATAACTCAATACGAAATATAACGTGTAACTAACCTCTGACAGTCTTCCTTTTGCTAACAATCAATCCTCCTCGTTTTATTCAACCGAAATCCCTTCCCAAAACAAGTCGAAATGCCAAGAGTAGATAGCAGGAGGAGCACACAGATCACGTTGCGAAGACTCGGCGGCGACTGAACTTGCACTTCCCTCGA